TTATTTTGATGATGTGAAAATGAAACCTATAAAAGCTATGAACTTGAAACTTCATAGGATGATATATCTTATTAAGAGAAATGCAGTGCTTAAAAACAATTAAAAAATTGTATTATACAGTTAAGTAGGAATGTTTTCACATGACCTTAATAACTTAGGATATGTTTTCTGCTTTTTAATTGTGTCTTTTGACAGTTTGTCTGTGGTATGCAGGTTTCATAACCTCCGATCCCCTTTCAAAAATTCTATTTTATTTAGTTTCACCCATTGTGTTCTCGTTTAGGGCACAAGCAATTTTAAATGTTTAGGACAATATGCCGCTTTGTGCCACAATGTAGGTTCCATGATAGCGTTCATATGAACACATCTATACAGATGTATAAGTAATACTTAAGTTTACCCGTTCATGTTAAATTCTGCTTAAGCTGGTGCTAGGAGGCGTGGACGGTAGCTTGCAGTTATGAACAGGCTCAAACAAATCGAGTCTGCATTTTCAATTTTGCAGAGTTGTATTTTCCTATTCTGTATTTTATAACTTATATGCATTATAATGTGTGTTTCAAACTGTAACCTTTCTTCTGAAGAAAAAATGGCAATAATACAACTTTCAAGAATATATTAAATAGAATGGTATGGGTAATTTTATAAAAATAATGGATTCACAAACTTTATTTGAAATTTGGCAAGTATCTACACTGTAACCGAAATCTTGGTATATACTGTAACAAAATCGGATCAAAGTCGCTCTGCAATACTCTCCTCGCTCTATACTGTAACATTGTTTATTTTTTCAAACGAACAGGAAAATAGGTTCAACTGGTCATTTACTTTTAAAAACGTTTCTAAACACAAAGGACTAACGTTATGTAGGTTTACTTTTGTAGACATGCTAAAATAATGTCGGAATTGGACGAAACATGCGTTGGTCTCTCAATTCAAATTTTCAATCTGTCAAGTCAGCACATTTATGAGACAATAAAGAGATAAAAATGCGCTTCATGGTATGAATAAATATATGACTAGATACCTGATCCAGTTCCTTATAAGCAAATTACAAAAACATCTTTTAGAAATTGAACTACTTGTATTATGGACCAAAATAAAATCACCTACCCGTTTTCGCCACATATAATCCTAAATCTTGAAAATTCTATACTGTAACTGGAAAGCGCGATACTGTAACAGGTTCCCGACGGTGTCTTTCGTAAAAAAAGATGTCGGTAAAAGTGGTAAAGCTGTCAACTGCTGCATCAAACATCAAAAGAATTTCAGCAATATTCAAGCAATTCAAATACAAGGTGAGAAAGAACCAGCGTTGGATAAATGAACAAGATTAACGAAACGAAACTGAATTTACTCCTCGTATTACGGAATATTAGGAATATCTTGATATGGTAGCTGGCATCCGTCGAATTGAAAATAAAGATTCAGGTCTAATAAAACGTTCGTATAAATGGGTTTATATCGGGGTGGTCGCAAAGCGGTTTTATACTTCATTCAATTTCAATGCAACTTAAACTAAATTTATTTATATACAAAATTGTAACGTTTTGTTATGACAAATGAATGCAATAATAAGTTTTAAAAATGAAAATGGTCACACATGACGAAGTTCATTTTGAAGGAAAATGCACTGTGATTTTTGCGTGAAACTGAATAAATCCCTGCCAGCAATATTGTTGATGCTCAAATAAATTGATTCAAATGTTGGCAGAACTATTGTCGTGCAGGTCACTGACAATGGAAACGAAAACAGAGGGCAAACAATCATTCATTCTTCGCTGCGCAATGGGTTCTACCTTCCTGAGCAAAACATCGCAGAGGTATATAAACTACCTTCTCACATGTGATCTGCCACACAGGATTGTATTACTAAGATCTGCGTGTACTGTTTTAAGGATTTACATTGTTGGCGTCACTATCCTTAATCTGAGCGCTTCATGTGGTAAAGAATGATAAATTTCAAAGTGGCATTTAGTGTTCTCTGTAAAATGATTTACAATTATTTTAAATATACATGTATTAAGTATTTAGTCCAAATATTAATATTGCTTTATCAATATCATATGCACGTGATAAAATACTGTTATCCGCTTAATATTTCATTGCCCCTCGTACATTCAATATGAAGAAACGTTAAACAACTATCAATATTCAATATTGACTTTACATGTACGTAAATACATACGTTTTAACAGGACAAATGTTTCATGATTTAAAGTGTTAATTAATATAACCAGATAAGTCTGTAAATATATATGCATTGGTTTAAGTTGACTATCTTGAAATATTGATTTACAAATTTTATTATGAATTTCATTGTGCTCCACACTTTTAACCGACCATGAACTGTATCTCTATATCTCGATCATAGTGTACGGTGCTGTATTGAAGTAAATGCAATTTATCTATCATAACGATCGTAATGGAACCCATGTGAGAGGTTTAAAGAACAGACATTACAATTTAGCCTACTAATGTGTGAAAACTGACATTTTTGATTAATTAAGACTTAATTCGAAAATTATAAAATAGAAGATATTGTTGGATAGACACCTATATAAGTAAGTATTTATTTTGTTAATAAGAACATGCTAAAAAATAAGTTGTAACAATTTAAAGTTTATTACCATGTTAACAATATAATCTGTCGGAATCATTTTTAAAAAAGTGAAGAAAAAAACACACACACACGCACGCACGCACGCTCGCACGCACGCACCACACACACACACACATCCTAAAGAACGCCAAAATCGGCAAAATTGAATATGTTGCAGCTTCAGCTTTATTAAGCCTGTCCTTGGACGGTACTGAAAAGCGCAAATTACCGTCCATGCCCCATAACACCGGCTTTAGTAGAATTCAGGATATAAACGTGTCTAATGATTTTAATATTTGCCAATTGACGGACGGACGACCAGTTCCATTAAATTAAACTGATATCAGAGATCTCATTGGCCTTTCAAAATTAAGAAAAAGAATGTAAAGGATCTTTCTTAAACGTATACACGTCTAAATCACATTCCTAAATAATTTGAAGGAGTTTCGGAAGCAAAGCTTAGTTTCCTCCGACTTATCAATAGACAACAGTTCACATCGCTTTTAAAAATTTAAATAGTTCTTTAAAAAACAATTTATTTAACATTAGAATTAACTGTTAGAAAATGCATTTGATAACTTGTGTCTAATATGACGAAACCACCAATAAGGCTCCTTATCCCAAAAACTCATTTACATGAATATTCCGAAAGACACAACATCACAAACTCTGAACCGTGTGGTACTATTATTGGATTATGTTCAGTGTTTATGATTATATTATAATTGATGCTGTGTTCAGTGATTTGAATTCATGATTGACATACACGTATCTTTGCGCATCTATGAAGCACGTGTATCTACTTTTACCTGAATATGTCTGTGTGAGGCACAATAACCGTAACAAGACAACACATCTCACAGTGCTCCATTGATCTAACAACCATTCAATATAATGTCAACTAACGTAAATATAAATATGAAAATCACTTGGAATATTTCATTTAAAGTGTATTTCGATATTTGCACTAGTTTCCTAGATCCAAGGATTAGGTTTACCGACAAAACGTGCCACCTTTTCAATTTTGATTTTCATTTCATTCAATTAAAAAACGCTACATATTGCTTTATCGAATCAACTTTGTGTAACTCTAAAATGACGTTCATCTTCAATATACGATTTATATGAATTGAAGCAAAATTGTAGATTTAAATTATATTTTGTATTGGCGTCCTTGAACGAATGTTTACAAATGAGACTTTGCAAAAGTAATTACAGTAACCTTCACTTATAGCGAACACGGTCATAGCGAGCTTCCAATTTCTGTTGGTCCGAAATGCCATTCTTTATTCAATATTAAAATTCGGTTATAGCGAACACGGTTATAAAGAATTATCGCTTATAGGGAACTCATTTTTAAGTCCCAATTAAGTTAAGGTACATAAAATTACACTTTTATAACGAACTACAAAATATCAGTTATTCGTAAATAGATCCCGCTTTTTCTACACAGATTAAAACTCGGCCGAATGTACCGTTTATAGTTCCATGTATCATGATGAATTTTCTTCGAAACGAAAGCTTTTAATTCTTCGGATAACAGGTCGTATTTCGAGTTTAATGTACATGTAGAAGAGCGAGTTTTTAAAAGTTTACAGGATATTGAATTTTACCTGAAGAGTTGTAAACATTCGCAAACTTAAATAAGCGACTTCTCGCAAATTGACCGTCTTCCTACATGATACTGAATTGTCAATAAATAACAATATTATTTATATCGTTTAATTATGATATAAATATATAAATACATATAAAAATTATATTTAAAATAAAAACATTGCAATTATTTCATTGAATCAATGTAAGCGAGACAACAATGACGTACCCATATGAGTTATTATTCTTTATCAATTGCTCTTCAAATTGGAGGACGATGGAAAACTCTTCACTATATGTAAATTTGTTAGCTATCAAAACCATTGATACAAGGAACTAATTTGCTATATATTTACAAGGAACTCTGGTTATAAAGAACATATTTTGAATGTCCCAATGAGTTCGTTATAAGCGTAGTTTACTGTATTTCCATAATTAAATAAGCTTTTAGATAACACTTCTTCATGTATTCAACACTCCGAAATAACCTACGCAATATAAGGAAGATATACTTTTGTCTTGTATGTTTTTAAAGATGTTTCTTGTGGATATTCCATATTTCGGCAATGATTACCAATTCGCATAAATAAAATTGTAGGTAAAATTGTTAAATCATCGTTGTGAGATCGATCTTTATTCTAGACCAAGTATATACAAGAGTGCACATATCACAAAAATATACATAAAGTTCTTATTCAAAATATCTTAGTAAAGGAAGTGTATATCATTTTATTTTCTTTCTTCTAGAGTTCTGTATGGCTGACAATTTAAAGCAGGACGAACAACGTAACAACGAATAAAAATGGAAACAATGGAGATGTCATCATCGGTAAACTTGATTTCTGTTAAGTTTTGATTTTTAATAGTTTTCAGATTATATAGATTATCGTAGGATTACACACTTTGCTATTGTAAATTATATTTTAAGATCTATATAATTATATGATTTTCATACAGTTATCGTATAGACTACACTGTAATACCTTTTTACTAAATACTTTGAGTAAAAGCATGTCAAAATTATAATAAAAAGAACATCTGTTCGATTCTATACTTTGATATGATGTTGGTTTTATTTAATAAAGCAAATGTACTAAATCAAAGTCATTAAGCAGCCAAAGTCGCGCAAATTTTCAAACAGAATATCCAATCTCATTTATTAAAACAATTTATTATAATTCACGTTGCAGATAAACTATGATAAAGCTAGAGGGCATGAACACTACCTGAGGCATATATTGTTATTGGAACAAGCTTCGCCTATTGCATTGACGGCCATTATAAAAAGAGAAGTGACAAAATGTGGAAGAGATCTTTGTATTTTGTTAAATGAGAATAGTCATACAATTAAAACACAGTATGAAACAGAGTTTCTTCAATTATTTCAAGAAGATAATATCAATGACTACATTGATACATGGGACACACTTCAATTATGTGCTGTGACATCAGTTTTATTTAAATCAGGTCTAACTGGTACAGAAGTTAAAGCTATTCAATGTATATATGATCAGAGAAAAGATATTGAAAAATACGTAGAATATGCCTCCCTTACATACAATACCTACAAGGAGAAACAAGAATTATTGCACGAACAATTACTCGAGTTGATAACGCTCATAGACGACCAAGCTAATCTTGATTGTAAACGTATGATATTTTCATTTGAATCAAAATTAATGACGTTAAGCGAACAACAGATAGGCAAACTAACACGGACAAATGATATTAAAACTCATCTGAAAATTGCAATGGAAGTAGATGTCGTAACAGATAATGATATCACTAGCGAAGAAGACGATCAAAAGCTTCCGACCAATTGTAAGTATTGCTGTTACAGTATGACTTTAAATTGATCCATATGGTTATTTTGTATCCAAACACATCACTTTATCTGCAAGTTGTCAATAAGTGTTTATATATTTACCAATTATCTATATTAATTTTATTCATCCAAAACTTATTCTTTTTATGATTAAAAATTTACTAAATTTAAGTCGACAGATTCATTTTCTACTGTCCCCCCTCCTCCAATCATATTTAACAACAGTTTTTCATTAACAGCTCTTATAAATCATAGATTTCGGTTGTAAGCACACTAACGGTGACCGACATTCGGCATTTGTTTTAAACAACACTACTACTTACGGTATAGACCCTTTCATTTAAGACCGTATTCAAGTTGTCGTCCTTGGATGACGTCATTGGGGGATACGGTGGACAATGCCGATACGATTAAGTACAATAATAGAGGGATATAAAGATCTTAATCCTTTCTCTTGTAAGATTGGCAGATTGAAATTGCCAAAATTTTGTGTAATTGAATAAGATATTACATAAAAAGGATGGTGAAATGAATAAAAATGTTTACTATAATAAGGTTAACGATTTGTTTTAATAGTAGACCATATTGCTGGGTAACTGATCATGATTACCATTTTCGTTAGATTCTTAATAATGAAAATTTTACCAGGCAGTTAAATCGTACTAACTTGCTAATACCAGAGATATAGATAATGTATCTATGTCTCTGCTAATATACAATACCCAAAAGATATTTTGAGTTTCAAAAATGTAAGGATTCTGTAGTTTCGAAAAACGGCTGCGTAATAATTAATTGCAAGATACTGGTTTATTAAAAATCATTTTGATTTAAGCATTACTAAGACAAAAGAAAAAAACAATATTAATCTATGTAATTTCCAAAAAAAAATGTAAAGGCATAAAAAGTAAAATTCTTTTGAATTTACTTGACTGTATACTATTTGTGATTGCAAAAATGCACTCTCAAAAAAATCGTACATCACACCAATATATTTAAGCTGGTAAAGTAATATTTTCAACTGGACATTTTTTAATTCATACTCAGCTTAACAAATATTAAAAAATAAACAAGTTGTGAAACACGTTCATAGAATTTCGTTTTTAAACTGAATTATAATTTTATGTATTTTTGACTGTGCCAGTAGGTAGGACTCTGGATCGAGTATCAAATCAGTAAGGCATGACCAATAATGTCCCTAGGATGATCCATAACAAAATTCGGACCATAAATATTTTGATAACTAACAAAAGTGACGTAATCTGATTTTATGTTATAACTCTAAAAATGCACCCTGGTGATTTATGATAGCACAGCCAATTAAGTGCCGCTTGTATATACAACATATGCACCCTGTTAAATAATATGTTACGGCCCATGCAGTGGCGCTTATATATACACATCTATTTATCTATGAAATAAGTAACTGGGAAAAGGTGTCTATTTTTATAATCATAAGAATAGATTTTTACTATCAAAATTATCTTAATATCTTCTGGTGCGAATCTTAAATTATAAAAGTCATTGCCAGATGGTTTTCCTTCTTTCCAGAATATTTATAAAATTATATCCTTCACAGGTTCTTTAAAATATTATTTATACGCCATAATGAAAAAGAATCAGTAAGTATTTGCAGAATGCATTCTGTTATTGTTCTATTAAAGCTTGAAAAACAATCATTTAAAGACATTGGCAATCTTATCACAAATACGCCGGAATTTTCTAAATGACTGAAAATAACACAGAAAACTAGAAAATGAACATCTAAATTTATAATAGGCAATTTCAGTGTGTATAGGTGTTTATAAAATATAAAAATTTGATTTAGTTACTAGCTTCTTATCCTGGCATTAGAGCAAATCTAGATCTTATAAATATATTCACTTTGAAATTTCGCTGTTTCACTTCGTAGCGAGAATTAATCTCAATCTTTGTTTTTGTATTTTTCTATTGTCTTGATATTGAATTTATGTATGCATGCGTAAGTTTTACATGGTAGAATCATAATTGAACTATCAGTATTTACGTATTTAACTTTTCAATAAGCTAACATTCTATGCGGCCTGCATAGTTTTATCCCCCATTTACGTCACATCCAGTAAGGTAAGTAACTCTTCCCTGACTGTTATCGCTTAAATGAAAGGGTCTAGAGAAGCATAAGCATTGACCTTATAGGTTATGGGGCATTAACCTTATACTGCCTACAGTGGTAAATACTTTGAAAACATTTAAGGGTTTTTTTTGACGTCGCTGCTTAAAACGTTATGTTGTCATTAGGCTTTCCGTTTGCTCTGTTATGCCTGTACTGGTTTCCTAGCAGTTTCCGGCCCAAGTTGCTCTTCTTAACAAATAAAAAAATGTCTACGGACGAGTACAAATATTTGTCAGAACAAGTACCTGTCAAACCTTACCATGTTTTTAATGTTGCTCTTAAATCTTACTGTTTAATTGGATTAGAAATATTACACCTTTTCTCACTTTTATTCAAAATTTCCTAGCAGTTTTTCGGACCCTTTTTTTGTTTTGAATATGGTTCAGTACCAGTAAACAATGTTCATATGTTGTTTTATTTTTCGAAAAAATATGACTTCTCAACCATTTCCCTGTCGGCTGCAAATATTTGTTTAAAAGTTTTTTAGAAAAGGATCTTAGTGTTATTGTACATGGGCATTCAAACTAGAATTCCACTGGCGTTGCTTATTTTTAAAGTTGCAAGTTCTCTTATGTAACTTTAAACCACAGGTAAAACTTAAAAACATGTCAATCGCTGTACTATTTTAACCGTTTTGTTGCATATAAAACACGTGTCTCTCTGATCTGATTGATGAAGTAACATAGATGCCTTACTGGGTAAAAAATAGACAGTACTGAATGCAAATGTTATAAGGCCGAAAAACTCCAAGGGGCCGGAAACTGCTTGGTAACCAGTAGTGGTCATAATATGTATAATTGTTATAATTACTTGTTTCAATGTAACGAGGATATGTTACGCATTAATATAGTGTTTGTTACATGAACTTTTGATAAATACTTTTGAGAATTAATGGCTTAATTTCGCGTATTTCTCGATCAAATCTCGTACTTTTCGATATTTATGCCTAAAGTACAAGTGCAACAAAAATTAATGTTTGCCTGTCCGAACAAAAACCATGCTTGGAAAGATATATTAATGTAGAACATTTATGTAATGTTTACTTCCAGGTGAAATTGTCATATTCTTGTTTGTGCCTTGTTTTCATGATGTTGTCAGTTTTATTTTCATAACATTATCTTGTAAGACGCTGATATGTTTACAATTCTGTATTATATGTTATGTATGTCATACGTTTTCAGATCGTTTTCAATTTGATAATAGCACGAGCAGTATTCAATAATTTTATATTTGTGAATTATAATCTAATAAACGAAATACAATATACTTCAGGCCAAATGTTCACTGAAACACTTCGGAACAAAAGTGTCTACATCAATGATTCAGCTATTTTGACATGTAAACTCAACCTTCCAATAGATGAAAATGTTGAGTGGAGGAAGGATTACAAGCCGGTTGAAATTTCAAACAATTTAATGGTCATGAGCAAGAATGGCAATCATTGGTTAGCGATTTCCCGTGCATCATTAGATGATACGGGTCAATATACGTGTGTATGTGGCCATATTTCAACATCAGCGGATCTTACTGTTATAGGTATGCTTTAATCGAATTATAACAACTACGCTGTGTTCTGTTACATGCTTAGAACAGAGTAAAGAATAACATACCTTACCTGGGCACTTACTATTTCCTAACTTTCAAGCTTCAATTAGAAAGCAAACTTAGTATTATGTAAATTATTATTCAGACACGAAATTTTACATTAGGCTTTAACTGTTCAGTTGACTGTCTTCACTTTATTATTTTTTAATTCGTTAGACAATTATCTTGACGAAATAACTCAAATGCAAGAGAAGTGAAATGTAAATGATAGGCACAATTGCAATATATACAGTTCTTTATCACATACCCATAATTGTTGCTCTTGATGTACACGACTTAGAGGGACCACATATTTGAACATTCACGGAAAATATCCTTTGCTTCCTACAATAAATCATTTTAATGTACGACTTATTTTCAAAAAAGTATGTTTGTTTATTTTTTTGCACTTACCTAATTCCGCAGATAGTAGATTTTAATATAGGACTCTTAGAAATTAAGGTATGATTTGTTTCATTTACTTATTCCTATTTTTTAACAGGAGTTGAACATTAGTGTGGTCTTATCTTCCAGTCAAGATTGCGGTTATTGAATGGAACATTGATTATAGAATTAAGTGCTCTGCTACACGAGTAGGACCTGTCTGGCAACACAAAGGACTTCTAACAATTCTTTTCTGTAGAAAGGTTCTAAAAAAAATTTACAATGCAAGAGGTTTCTACACACACTTGTTGATTCACGAATTACATTAGACACGGGATGAATCAATTGACTTTGGGCAATGTTATCTAAAAACAACCAGTTCAAATAAACAAGGTCAAATATTTAATCTTTTCTATCGTTTTTGTAATATTACCCACGTATTTATTATAGTTTTCATTTAGTCTCTATCAGGTCCTTTAAATTCATTAGTTTTTTTAAGACATTATTTGGTCCAAACAGCTGGTAATCTATTACTTCAATGCATTATTTCTACCCTATTTGTCAATACAAGGGAAAATTAGTTGTTTCAATTTCTGTAAATCTAATTTCGTGGACGACCCTTATCACAGAAAACACGATAACAACAAGGAATTTTACAGAATGGATGAAGAGGGCTCTGCCGCTTACAACATATTTAATGTTTTAGAAAGGTCTTTTCCGACCAAGGCTGTCCAAAAGCAACATAAGAACTAATAGAAAAATTTGGAATCCTTGCACACTTGTACAGGAAGTCTTCTCCACATAAACGCCCATGCCAACGACAAAGAAAAGGAACATCATTGTTTATGTTCCCAAAGTCAGAACCAGTTCAAGACAAATGTGCTTTCCAAACGGGGTATTTTGTATGGGCACGTTTATAATCAAATCATTTATAATACTCGCTTTTCACAGATCCATATTCACAATCAGATATCCAGGAATTGGAGCAAGTGGATTGCGGATGGGCAGTGTTGCACATCTTTGTTACATATTTTTTACTGGAACAATGCAAGGATCAGCTTAAGAGGTCGACTGTTCCCGGATTTATTAGTATGCGTATAAAAACAACTTGAATATAGAATAATGCTTGGAGATACCATCCGATGGGGAAATAAGATTGGTTTGCAAGTACAACATCTCACCACAGTCATCAAATTATTGTTGTATGTAATTTCATTGAACATTCATAATAATTATTTATGCTTTCAGTGTTTTTATATACAAATGTATCAAAATTGATTAGTATTGTTGAAAACCATAGTGAATTATAAACAATACTAATTTTCACTGTTAGCCGGGACTATTCTGCTGCGAAATGAAAGAAAATCATAACCACAATGAATAACAAGGCAGAAAATGGACATGCCCGTTCATTAACGTCAAAATATTGCTTATTTTAGGAAAAAAGGTCTTATGTTCATCATACAACTTCATGTTAAACAATCTAAACAAAAATTTAGAGGACATTTACAGAACTTAATTCAAAAACTTATGGATGTGGAAACTCATGCTATCATGGGGAGGTCAACCAAAAGGAGAATGCGGGCGACGTTAACGCCGGCAAAATCAGTAAAAAATTATTTTTTTAACTATAAAAGAAACATTTCATTTGTTTAACATATTAAAAGATTGAAATATATTTCATTCAGTTGACACCCAGTTATATTTTCACTTCGTTGGTAGAACCGCCAAACTCGTGAAAATATTGCATCTGGTAGTTCAACTCAGTGAAATTACTTATTTCCAATCTTAACAATGCAAACAAACACAATATCCTCTACTATTATATCATGTTTTATATTTAAGCCTCATTATTGCATGTCTATAAACAGTCTTTTCCGAGATTGGTTTTTTCTAAACATTGATTAATTTTATAAGTGCAGTATTTTTAGCAGACAAATTAAAATGAATTTTAGATAACTATTAGTGTTAACTTTTCAGGCAGGGGAGCAGCAAGGATGAATATTCTTCACAGTCCAAACTGTGAACTATCTGAAAATCAACTAAACACGTTCATCATAATGTTCAAAGAAGTAATAGAAATCAAAGGATACCAAACACATCGGTAAATACACCTTTGAAGGGGAGCCAAGGCCCGTAGAAGAAGCATTCCGTTTACTAGTTATATGGTAATACTCCTATTGGATGATAATAGCTATAACGTGTTTAGGACAGTAGTAAAATCAGGAGTCGTCAAACATAGCAATAAGACCCACTGAAAGGCCCGGCGTTGCAACGCATTAACAATTATATAGATTTTTGTAATTAATCCTAAAGGTAATGTCAGTAATTATAAGACAGATTTATGCCGTTTGGCGATAACATTTATATTGTTCTTGTATTAGCAATTGTGTAGGAAATAATCGTTACTTTCTCTTCTCAATTAAGAACTACGATAAAATCAGAATTGTAATTAAGTTTATTGACCTGTATCTTGCAATTCTTAATGTTTTACTATTTGTTTATTTGCACAGTTGTATGATATAACTAAAAAAGTACATTTCAGGTTCTGCTTTTTGGCATTAGGTGTTTAACATTTTATTGCGCTATGTTAAGTAGAAAAAATTGTGCTAAAGAAGTAAATAACAATTATTTGACTATAAATAGTAATACAACACTTTGTATTATGTTTCTATTGAATCAACTGCTGTATTCTTCCTCTTGCGAGCTGATCTCGTTACCATTTTCCTTTTCACACATTTCACGCATTATTTGGTATTAAAAAGATATGCAAAGAATACAGGATAAAATGTCAACAAAGCTCTTAACAAGTTAAACAATTCGGCATTGTGTTGATAACAAAAATTTAACCTTGTAAAATCTTAAGTTTATTTAGGGACGTAACCATTATTAATTTCTTAGCTTTCATGGACTAATTATGCATTCTGTATTTTTGTTCAATGCAATCATTCTTGTCAAATGATTTTAGCCGGAGTCCTATCACAAATTTCTTACACAGATGCAAACAAAACCAGATTCGAGATTAACCCTTGGAAGACAGGATTTGAGAGAAACTAAGAGAAGCATGGATGTTCTATCATTGAGAGAAATGACCAACAGCAACAAGCAAACAGGGCAGTTTTTAGCTACTTGCATTTGAGTATTTATATGAAAAAAATGCTTTCTCGGGACCGATTAAGTAGGCAATTATTTGAAATTAACAGGCATGTTGATTTTCAAGCTTCAAAAAATGCGATATTAGTTTTCAACAAAGCTTCTTTGGAGAATCACTGTTGATTCTAATGTGTAATTGCAAACGAATCAATTACTTGAGAAAAGATGTTAAAACACTTGTTTTTCTGTACAGCCATCCACGGTGCAACGCTTATTATTAAGGGACCTCGTATTAGATTCTTTAAAACTTTAAAGAGTACAATGAGGCAATATTTAACATTACGGAGTTAAGTTGTAAGATTATTCTAATTGGCATGAAAAGTGTTGTATTACGTAATAAAACTTTTCAGTTGGTCAATTCAAACAGTTTCTTACCTTCCGCAAATTCTTATTTTCTAGATATCAAAATTTGTTTTTAGGACGGAGGAATTCATAGTTTTCCGTCACTATGTTATAATGGTCTAGGAATTAGGAAATTAAATGAATTTTACTAAATCAAATTATAAATTAAATACAGTTCTCTCCTTCGTCATGTTTATTTGTCTTACGATAAAGCGCCTGATTCGGATAATATATATAACGTAACAACTTTTTGTTTAATTTTACCTTTTCTTCGCTTGGAATTTGAAACTTCAAACTGATAAAGATGCACAGATAAAAGTGGTCCTTAGTTTTAATTTTTGACAAATCAAACTTGTACTAACTTCTAACTTGGTTCATTTAAGGGACCACGATTTTTTAAAATTAAAACATAAGTCATTAACGAGTACGTAAAAAACAGCTGTAAGTTCAAAATTCCTGTACTCCGTTTGAAAAAGACATTACGATTTATATCCTCTTACTGCCCAGCTTCAACAATTGGTTTCCTTTTTATTGATAGAACTTAAACATGTAAAACATTATTGCATAATGACTAAGATTTTAATATATTATATAACTTATATACTTCGTACAAAATGTTAAATCGCTACAAGGGCAAAGAAGAATTAAATTAAAAAATGAAGCTACAACACAAGAATCGCAGATTTCGAAATGAAAATTATGTGGTTGAGATAGGAACGGTAGGTATGCAGGGGAAGAGGGGGGTGTTAGTAGATTACACTTAATAAAATGGTTGGGTATAAGATGAGGAGGGTGCGATATGCAGAGGAGACGCATTTTCTTTTTAGAAGAAACGTATCCTTTTTTTCTTAAACATAAACCAATTCACAAAACGCAACATCAAAAAGATTTCTAAAGAATAATATTGCTGGTAAAACGAAATATGCATAAAAAATCTATATAGTTTCATCCTGTAAATTAAAACAATCCGAGTTTGGCAACTTTGTGTCTTTTTAACTGGGCTTGTAATATAAACAGCAAACAATTATGTCTGTTGTTATTTTTAAAGTTAAAAACACACAAGGTGTTGGACTGTCGGAATTATCTTTGCAAAAATATGTCTGGTCTAAAAATGTTCTTTTTCCCATTCACTATACATGCCAACAAACTTAGTTAATATAAGTAATATAATAAATAAAGCATTTATTTAGTTTTTAAGCTTATTGGAATATTCAATGTACAAAATTGCATTTGGTCGATTTGTTATTTTTATATTTTCACATAAAGGAAATGAGCTCTTCAGTCTTAATGCTATCTTTTAATCTGCCGGAGAAACAAAAAGATCTTACAGGTAATTATGAAAAATAATAACTTTAAAAAACTTGATTCAACGGCTTTATTTGTAAGAAATTTAGAGATTTGTTAGAATTGAAAGAGGGACAAAAGAAACAAATTAAGGACATAATTTTAATTATGATTATTTCCTTCGTTGAGTGAACGTTACACGAATAATTAGTAACTAAAACCTAGGTTGAAACAGATAGTATTTGCGGAAAATATATCAATAATTCATCAAAGAACCATCTTCTTTACTAAAGATCTTTCTGTTGTTCTTGCATAACTAGGCCCACCTAGTGTATATTACGAAGGCGGGAAACTACTTTTACAAGATAGTAACTTACGCAAGCATGGCACTTGGTTTTAAGAGAAGCATGCCCACGGGGCGCCATTGTATACAAAGATTACACACGAAGGCTGACGAACCCTCTTGTTACAGTTCAGTTGGGAAGAAATAAACACGAAACCCAAATTGTAAACTTATTTTAAGATACGCTCACATATAAACAATGTGACTGCTTATATCTGCTTATTTTGAGTCCACGTAAATTGTCTGCATTAATTTTTCTATTATGTTTTTTTTTTCAGAGCACTTCTTGCTTGATCTACAGATAAATGTTATTGCTAAAAATGGTGACAGAAGTGCTGAAGGGAATCAAAGAGTTTATGAAGTAATGAGAGACTATATTAAAGATAAAGATGATATGATTGGTTTACCTTTTGATGAAAGATCAACTGATACACCAGTCTATCACCTCGTAGATTTCATTAAGGCAATAAAAAAAATGCCGTATCGTTTGATATTTCTATCACTGACCAATCGTCAACAAACATACAAATCAACTGCCACAGTTCAAAGACCATGGAAGATTTTCTTAAGTCTACCATCAGTAACGAATTTCAACAAGAATTGTTAGGCCTTAGACGATGGCTACAAGTGAAATATGAAATTGAATCGCATGACATAACTGCCTATTGCTCATCAAATGGCATAGAGAATGCAAAACAACGGCTTCGTAAGTTTAATATGAATAATTATCATTATGATATATGATATCTTTTATATTTAACAGTGTAGTCTGTATGTTTGTAATCAGTGCATATTAAAAGTATTAAATGACTGATTAAAGATATGTAAGAATTTTTGAAAACTTTATAGGTCGACATTTTTTATTCTGTAAACACAAAATGTACAAATGTTTAAGAGTGTAAATCTACTGTCTTCAGACTTTACTGACGTAACAAGAACTATGACTTGTGCCGAGCATCAAAATACACAATGTACTCTCTATTGTCCTGATCATGACACGTTTATATGTACAGCATGCAGGGAATCAAGACATTGGTAATTATACATTTCTTACAATCAGTAATTTGTAGTGGTTAATATGGTTCAAAATGTATCAAATTAAACAAACGAATTTTAAAAGCGTTTAACAATGACTGATTACTTATCTATTAGAAACATTTAAGTTTGATTTCTCTTAAATTACTTGAAAAAAAATAGGAAAAAATAGTTTGACTAGAAAGATTATTCGATACCTTTTATTTGTAATATTTCCAGCTGCGTTAAAGGATTTGTTTATCTTTGAAATAGATTCATAATTGAGTCATATCTTATTATCCGATTGTTTGTAAAATATCATTAATGAAACACAAATGTGAGCAATAGTTAAATCTCTCTCACACGACAAAACATTTTTATTGACCCGAAACTTAAAAAGTATTACTCATTTTATTTGAAAGCGTGCGACAATGACTGACAACTAATCAGTCAGAAACATTTAAGTTTGATTTCACTTAAAAAATTGTAAACAAATTAGAATCATTTAATCATCTGATACTTTTATTGACCCGATACTTTTATCCCTAATTTTACCATACTGAAATGATTTAAATTTATTTGGTTAGAAAGACGGATGAAACAATATATATTTTCCTTGATAAACATTCGAGTGTCGACAAAATTATAAGTCTTCTTGTTATAGCGATTGACCGAAATCACATTTGGTCTACACTAAGATACAGGTACAGTGAGTGACTAAATTGTTTCGAATTACTGGAGGGTTTATCCAGCAGGTGATGCGGTTTTGACTCTTTGCTTGTAACATCCGAGGTTAGCCAAAATTATCCGTTCTGTTTTGGCGCAATATGACCTAAACTGTGTTGATCAGTACGCCGTAAAACAAAACAAACAAACTAACAATACATTTTCATATCGACAAAAATTTTAGCATTTTAATTTTGTAGTTTCTTTTATCAATTAAACAGTTAACAGAGTAATATTTATTGATGAGAGTATCCGCCAGTTCGTCTTTAATATGAAAATTTTCTTATATTAATTAAGAAAAATATGATAAATCGGAATCATTTATCTTAATTCGTATTATCAGCTATTATGTGAATATGATAACCATGGTAAGTGTTTCAAATATGTTTTTTTTTTTGGGAATGTACATTTATTTTAAAATAGAGGATTGAAATTTGATTTAAAATTAAACTTTTTGAAAGATTGAATAAAATATATTTTTGCGACCCCTGGCGAGCAAAAAAAATTTTTCATTACGAGCCCAAAAATATATTGAAACACACGAATATAAATTCATTTGTCAATTATAATAAAAAGTAAAAATGTTAAAAATAGTTATTTTTCATATCCGGGCCCAAGTGTTACGTTACTTAACGCCTTTTAACGTATGTTTATTAAAGCAAAAAGCCCTAAAGGTTTTTTTTACACTAGTTAATATTTTTTTAAATTTTGGCTTATTAGATCAAAAACGCTATTATTTGTCCAAAAGAGAACCACAAACTTTCTAAAAATCATAATTTCTGGTTTTATCATATACATGGCAGAATAGATTTGTCTAAATATAGATTGACTTATTTCAATACCATATATCGTAACGTTTTACGCGGCTTTTATAAAGTAATTGTTGCGTTTTGTTCTTATAACTCATGCAGCTTATTAAAGTAACAACCATTCCCTTAACATAATGACTATTTCGCATGCCGTTTTTGTTCAACGGATTTCTTAGAGGCCAATAAAAGGTTGCTGCTCGCTTGTGCGATGATAGATGATGTCTAAAATGTCATCAGGACCGCAGACCAATGGTGTCTTTTATCGCCAGATTGCGGGCAGCAACCAAGTATAAAAGTCGTTATTATCTACGTTTAAAAATCGCCGTTTATCTTTGTTGTCGCCATTTCTGAGAAACAGACAGTTGTCAATATCAACACATATCTCTGTCAATCAGTTTAAAAAACTGGCAAATGATAGCAGGGAAGGGTGCTGACCATTTGAACAAATGCTTCTATATAAACACGAAACTTATAGAATTATAGGTACAAACATTGTGTTCATACATTCGTTTATAATAGCTTCCATATTTTTACAAGGCAGTTTTTAGCTCGACTATACGAAGTATATGGAGAGCTGTCCTACTCGCCCCGGCGTCGGCGGTGGCGTCCGCGTCCAGATTTCAGATTAAGGTTTTGGTGTAGTAAAATATTTTTCACTTTAACTTTGTCATTTCTTAAGGTATCAACTTCAAACTTCAAATATATGTTCCTTATTATCAACAACATCTTATGATAACTCTAGAACTAAGAATTTTCCTTACAAAATACTATTTTTACGGTTACTTCTTTATTTTTTAAGGGATAAACTTCATGCTTCAAATATATGTTCCTTATCATCAACCACATCTTATGTGACAAGGTTCATAACTCTAGCACCAATATTTTCAGGTTTATCTCCCCTTGAACTTAGAATTTTCCTGAAGAAATACTATTTTTTACTGTTACTTGTTTATTTCTAAAGGGATCAACTTCATACTTCAAATATATGTACCTTATCATCATCCACATCTTATGTGACAAGGTTCATAACTCTGCCACCAATATTAAAGAATTATCTCCCTATAAACTTAGATTTTTTTACTAGAAAATTATTATTTTTTACTAAGACTTTTTTAGTTTTAAAGGTATCTACCTCAAACTTCAAATACTTATTCCTTATCACCAATTACATTTTATGTGACAATGTTCATAACTCTTGAAGCAATATTTACAGATTTATCTCTCTTTGAAGATTTTCATTAAGAAATATTATAACTTTTAAGTTATCTACTTCAAACTTCAAATATATATTTTTTATCATTACACACATGTTGTGTGACAAGGGTCATAACACTAGCGAGACTATTTCTAGAATTATTCACCTTGATCTTGGAATTTATGTTAACAATGTTATTCTTTTACTATAACTTAAAACATAATTATACATAATTGATTGTTCTTCCATAGTTTTTTCTTCCTTACTGCGTCCAGTATTTTATTAGTCGAGCTTCTCTGTCTCCCGTGACAGCTCTTGTTGGCATATACAACCTATATTTGCGCGCATTAGAAATGGATCCACATCAGAAATTAATTGAAATTGAGCGTGGAACTAGTTCCCCCCCCCCCCAAAAGAATATACGATTATAAACGAAATGAATATAATATAAAAGTGAAAAAAATGTGTATGAATAAACCAAGAAATATATCTTATGTAAGTAAGGGCGCAAGCCTTTTTCGTACATAATATTTGTATTTTTTCATCGCAGATCAGGAAATACAATGCTGAAATTCAATATCTGGAACAAATCTTGCAACAAAAAGTAGTTCTAAAAACAGCTTAAATCTAGCGATGTAAAAGAAATGAATACTTTTTTTTCCTACAAGTATCCAACGAATTATAACGAATTTAAAGTTTAAAAGTAACTTTCGCTTATAGAATTGTCCATAAAGTCACAATCACAATTTACGCGGATGAATGTTTTTTTAATCAATGCAAATTGCGCGACTATTTCCGTAAAGCTTCAGATTATTGTTATCGGAATACAACGCCGCCTAAATGGACATTTGTTATTTAGACCTTCTGAAAAAAAATAAGGGTGTTGACTCTTGGCTAGGACAGGGACCAATTTAGGGCAATCGACGATACCATAAGTAATGTTCTTATAAGTTAAATACCCGATAATTTAATTCACGTTAATAAAGCGCTATTTTAAGCGATGTCGATTACCGAGTGCCTCTATGACCATACTTCAGCGCGTATTACACTGTGGAGTAGTGAATTATTATATACATGCGTTTAATTATATTCATATTATACATGGAAATCAAGCTGTTTTCCTTGCGCTGATCACTTATTTACACTATACTCTAGCTCTTACTGAATGCTTAAAAAGTAAAATAAAGAGACTTTCCTGTGCTTTTGTAGATTTCACTCAAGCTTTTGATAAAGTAAGGAGGGTCGGTATAAATTGCTCAAAAATTGTATAAATGTTTAATAGTTTTCATAGTAACTGTTATTAAATATGTACCGTTTATTTTACATAATTGAGCTGTATCGGCGTCGTTTATTTCCGAAAGAGGGGTAAATTTGTCTCCAGGTGTCCTTTTTGTCATGTACTTAAATGATCTCCAAACTTTTATTACAGAATAGTGGAATTTTTGGATCACGACGATCTTACTTTATGAAATAAATACTTCTTTCAAATATTCTTTATACAATGTACAAACGACACTATTCTGTTATCGAACACCGCTGACTATCTCCAAATTTGCATGAACAATTTTAATGATAACTGTAATAATTGGCATCAAAAGGAAAAAATTAATAAAAAAGTAATTTTTGATGTTTGGGTTAAACTTTTGTTTTAGATTTTTTTTAGGAGAGAAAATATTAAGATACCCAATTCTTCCCAAATGATTGTGTGACATCTTTTTTCAATGGTTTTTCCCTTTAAAGCTATATACAAAAATTTAAAGAACAATGTATTTACATTTACCATTTAAAATTTTGGGGCATACGTTGCCCTTTAAATTATTTTGGCATATGTTAAAGAAATATTTCGATTTGAAAATTTAGATA